GTCTGGAGTCTTGCTTCTCCAGCCCCCGCAGCCCAGACCTTGCACCAGGGCTGGACTGGTGCTGCCCGTGCCCTGTGCCAGTCCTGGTACATCCACTAAGTGCTTTAGCTTTCAGATACTGTAAAGAAAAGATGTTGGTTGTGGTTATAGACAGGAGCTGCCCACCGTGGGTGCCGGGGAGTGTTCCCCCCTGCCCAGAGACATTTGGGGCTCTGGAGCTGGGGGGATGAGCCTCAGGGAAGGTGGTAGAAAGTGGTTCTTTCTTCTGTTAAAAACCCCTTGATTTCACAGTGCTGGATCCTTACTCTTCACTTCCAATATTCAGCCAACTGTGATGCCTCTATTTGCAAACGGAGGCAATTCTTAGTTGGGTAACAAGTGTTATTTTCATACACCGACCAAATGGCACCCAAAGACTCCATCTAAACACCGTCTCTGCTCTGCCAATGTTTTCCTCCTCCTTCTGCACTAAACAATAGATTATTTTTTTTCCTGGTAGATGCAGACCCCAGCCATGGATGCTCACCATCCAGAGGCTTCTGTTACGGTTGACTTTGCTGTTTCTGTGTTGCCAAAAATAAAAACCTGGGGGATGGCATACAGGCTCCCACTGTTTGCGTTTCATCTCTCGTCCTTCTCAGCTCCAAGTGTTTTTCAGAATAAACTGCGCACTATTTGCCAGTGCTTTTGTATTTCTTAAAGGTTGTTTGGGGATATGCCTTCCAAAGCATATTTTAGTTATCGTCAAAGCTTGAAATACTTTAATGATGATGTTCATATGCAAACACAAAGCCAAATTATTTTTGCATACATTTACCAACAGTAAGATGGCGTGGTTATTTGTAGAACATTTTCAGCCCCATGAGATCCCAAGCAAACAGTGCAGGGGACTGTGTCGTGATGTTCCAGAGTGAGGAACGAGCAGCTTTGTCTCCCTGAATCAGTCCCCACCTGGACTGAAGATCTGAAGGCATCACCCTGTAAAGGCTTGTGTTGATCATCCCTTTGAGCATTTTTAGGAATGAGCAATCTCCTAAATCTGTAGGTTTAAAAAGTCAAAACTGACGGTTCTTGGTGTTTTCTGAGTGTATTTTGCATTACTAACAAAAATAAGATCATCCCAAACGTGATGTGGGATGTACATACTGTAAGGAGGTTTCTATCAACCTTAAATCTGGATAAACAGTTCTTCATTTATTTCAGAAGTTCTGTAAAACACACTGCTAGTGTTTGGGAATGCTATGGTAAATGATTTATTAATACTGTAAGCCTTATCTATACCATAATTGCCATAAATAAGAATATGTAACCAAGAATTTATTGATCAATGTGTAACAAACTACTTTTAAACAAGCCTTTCAAAGTAAGACTTTCTAATATTTTTCAGCTTTCAGCTAGTAAGTGAATCTGCTTTAATGGATTATTGTGACTATGAAGTGCTTTGAGATTTTTTCTGTACAATAGACCCTATGTAAATTCTTCTGTGAATTGTTCTGTCTCTATCATGTTAATGTAATTAGATGAAATCTGATGTACTTACCCTTTACTTCTTGTGACTTTGCAGAATATCGTTAATGATACAGCCATAGTGCAGCTACATGAAAGATCCTTAATTCAATTTTCTTTAAAGAAGATTGACACTAGTAACATTTAGCCCCTTAACAACCCTTCTTTCGCAGCGTGGCGATTGGCAGATGCTCTGCACCCTGATTTCTTGGCAGTACAAAGAAACAAGATTTGCTACTGCAAAGTTAAAAGTTTAGGGATTAATTGTGTTACTTGGAGGAATTAAATCCCTTCCTGTGCTCCCGCTGCTCCTCGGTGAGGTCTCTCCGGTCCCGCTCCTTTCTGTGCTTACTTGGAGGAATTAAATCCCTTCCTGTGCTGCCGGGGCAGGTCCTGCTGCTCCTCGGTGAGTTCTCTCTGGTCCTGCTCCTTTCTGTGCCGCTGCTCTGGGACTGCCCCCTGCACCCCCCGGCCTGGGGTCCCTGCTCTGCACCTTGGGGTGGTGGGGAGGGGTTGCAAAATCAGTCTCTTATGCATAGCAATGTGCCTGGTTCTTCAGTATTTATTAGACATGCTGGGCAGGACAGCGTGAGCAGAGCAGGTAGGGTTCTCCTGCAAGAACCCACCCTGAGGCTGAGTCCCCCCTGGATCGGTCTCTGCAGGACGCTGACATGCAGAGGGTAAATAATTCAATGAAATAAATGGATGGCAATCTCCTCCGAGCTTTTGGAGCACTGGGATGTGCTCGGCAGCGCTGGGTGCAAAAGCTCATCTCTAGGGAAGAATGGTGTAAAGGACTCCTCTCGAGTTGTCCTTTATCTGAAAGTTTTGATAATTTCTCGAATACTCTTATTTTCTTTGTTATAACATGTTTTCTCCAGATGCTGGAATAACTTCCAGCACTGGGTAAGGAGGCTGATGGGGATTCTCCACGTGAGGCTGCATCCCTGCCCCTCACTGCTCTCCATGCCGGTGCCGATGGGTGATGGATGGAGGCTCTTGCCTGTCCCTGGGCATCCATCACCTGAACCCAGGCTGTCTCTGCCCTTCCTGCTGGTGCTCACCCTGTGACAATGGCTCTGGTCCCCAGAGTTTAATGTCTGAGTGTTTTGGGGGACACTCGTGTAACTTGCCAAGTGCAACATGGTGTAATAAAAACAGCTCTGCTGTCCCTGTCTTCAGTCAAATAATTAATTCTCTGCAGACATTTAGTAGTGAGAAATTCCCACAGCCCAGCAGGCTTTAGTGAGATTCTGTTAATGAATATTTGAAAGCTTTTGTGAGACCCCTTACTGAGGAATTTTAAAACGTATTTTAAAAATATTTTCTCCCTGCAGCATTATTCTGAATCTGATTCTTCCTTTGATACCTGTCCGTATCCCCAAGGAGTCCAGTTCAGTTCTGTCTCTGCTCATCACCTGCTCAGCCTCAGGACCTCCCTTCCCTCCCAAACAGCCCTCCCAGGCCCTTCCCCATTCCCCCACTGGTGACAGTGGCCCTGATTTCAGAAGAATTTGGTTCCTGTCCGTTGGTCTCAGCCCAAAGCCCGACCAGTGACCCTGCCCGAGGGGGAAGGTGAGGAGTTATTGTGGCCAGATCGAAATGGATTTCTGCTCTTTTTCGTGCCCTTTAATAATCTAAGGGTGTTTTTGATTTTGTTTTTGTAAAAGACATCATTTGCATTTCACATCCAAAAATAAGCTGCTAATGTATTTGGCTCTTCTCCCACGTTTGTTCTAGGCACTCCAGTTTCATTCTTTGCCGTGTCCGTTCTGCTCAGTGTCAGGGAGGTCTGTGGCTGGTGACAGATTGCTGCTCGGGGACCGACGCCGCTCCCTCCCCGTGATGCAGCAGATCAGGACGCCCTTGGGGTGTCTCACCAGGGACCTGCCCACTGTGGCCCTTGGAGAATCTCAACTGAATTAGTCGGTGGTTGGCCTTTTCTGATGTGGGATCTGGCAATCAAAAGACGTGATTAATTTAGACTTGGGGAGCAGAGCAGTGTGGACCTACCGCTGTTTGAGTCTCATTAAAAGGCAAAGGAGCAGCGTACATGTCACATTCCTGAGGTGATTATCTGCTTCTGGCCTTTTGAACATCCTCGCTGCGACTTGGCTCCAAAGCAGCCGGTAATTGCCGACCGTGTAGATGCTTATTGAGTTGTGTGAGCTGGACACCACCCTTTTCTTACTCTTACACCACCTCTTTCTTACTCTTACTTTCTTGTCTCTTAAACAGTGAAGCCCCACCTGAGGGGGAGCTTGATTGCTCTCTGAGGACGCAGCAGTTAGCCCGAGCACAGCCCGTAAGGCGGCCAGGATCCCAGAGGGATGGCCCAGACATGGTCACCATCTCAGCTTCTTCACTGGCCTCAATCTTCCCGGGCAGCTCCTCTCCAAAGCGGGCAGGGACCAAGCCGAGGTTCTTGCCTACGTGGCCTGGAGGAGTGTTGGGAGGCGTTGGGTGGGAGCGTGTCCCCGGAGCCCCCGGCTCAGCCCTCCTCCAACATGGTCCCCTCTTCTTCCCCATGGCAAAGCAGCCTTTGCACAGTAATCCATCAGGGCTTCTGCCCCACAAGTGGGGAACACTACCCCTGCGGAGTGGGTCGGACGTCCTCAAAATGATGCTGTCTCTTTCGTCTTTAATTGGAATAATTTGATCCTCCCCCATGTTTTTTGCACCGGGGAGGGGGGTGTTTGCTGGGTGGGCAGCGCTGCAGTGAGGACTGGGCTCTGTGACCCTGCCGGGCTCTGTGACCCTGCCAGGCTCTGTCTGCTCCCCGGGCCGGGCACGGGGATCCGTGTTCAGTGAACACCAGTGCTCAGATCCAGAACTTGGGTTAAATCATCATTGGGGTCTGGAGCACAAGTCTCCTGAGGAGAGGCTGAGGGAACTGGGGTTATTCAGCCTGGAGAAGAGGAGGCTGAGGGGAGACCTTATTGCTCTCTACAACTCCCTGAAAGGAGGGTGTAGAGAGATGGGGGTCGGTCTCTTTTCTCAAGTCACAGGCGACAGGACAAGAGGAAATGGTTTAGTGATGATGCTCCTTGTTTGTTGTGTGGGTGTCTATTTTTGTCAAAATTAGGTTGATGGTTGGACAAGATGATCTTTAAGGTCCCTTCCAACCTAGAAGATTCTGTGATTCTGTACCACCGCTTTCCTGAGGCAGCATCTCTGGTTCCTGTGGCTGGGCCTTTCCTTACACAGCTTTTGCTCACTCCCCTCAAAGGTCTCTGACTCTCTCTATTGATAGCTGAGTTTTAATTAAACAGTAACCATTTTTTACTTGATGAACCCTGATAATTCCTGGTTTAGCTGTTTCCATCAAAGCCACCCCTGGGCTGTGTTAGCCCTTCCTGGGGAGTTTCACCTGGGATTGCCGTGGTCAGGGGCAGATGCTGTTTCTGCCGCTCCTGGGGAGTGAGTGCGGGGGGGTTTGGGTCCGCATCTCTCCGTGTCCCCCCGGAGGATCCGCGTCTCTCCGTGTCCCTCAGAGGATCCGCATCTCTCCGTGTCCCCCCCGCCGGCTCCGCACGGCGCCCGGCCCGGGAGGGGGCGGCAGACGCCGCGGGACCGGCATCGCCGCTGGCGGGACCGGCGGCTCCGGGGGGAGCGGTGCGGGGCTCCCGGGCGAGCGGGACCTGTCCCGTCCCCCCCCCAGCCCTGGGCAGAGACCCCGCTCCGGGAACCAGGGTGTGCAAACCCTTCCCTTTCACATCTCTTCCCTTCAAACACGGGTTTGTGCAAAAAGCTGCAGTGAAAGCCCCGGTAATGAATTACATCGTTTAATGGGGAAAGCCATATGCTTTTAATAAGCTGCTACTTTGAAAAATTGCTTTTCTAATTAACAGTATTTTTCAAAAAGCCTGAAAGACAAACGCCCTCTACTTGGTTCACCCCTCAGCAGGGGACAGCCCCGTCCCCAGGAGGTGGTGGCCGTGGAGCTCCCAGGACCCCGCAGTGGTTGCCATCAGTGGGTGCCATCGGCCCTACCTCCAGCGAGGTGCCCCCTGTGTCTGTCTGTGTGGAACGGGGGTAAAAAACGGAGATTTTCCCCCTGGTCTTTAGAGCGACTCATGGGGGATGTCACAGCCCCTCCATGGGCTGGCAGCATTAGCCAGATGCACTTGTCACATTATTTTGCTGTGACGTTGTTGGGCAGCAGCAGAAAATCTTCACAGATTGAATGCTTAGAACCTACTTGCATATTTAAACTTTGCATCTGCTCTTTTACCAACGTTGCTGATTCAGAAATGGACTTGGTGGTGCTGAGCTGTGGTAGCACCGTGGCAGGACGGGGCTCTCTGCAGCAGCAGTATGTGCTGCAGCGTTTCTATGACAGGTTTGATGTATAAATAGCCATCTTCATCCTCCTTGGGTACAGCAGCAAAGGCAACTTCACCCTTGCGGTGTGTGGTGTGATGAGAAATGAAAGCCACAGCCCTGTTTTGTGATGTCTGTGTCGCTCACCCTGCCCCCTGCCCCTCACACACCGTTTCCCTGGGGTGCTGCTTCAGCCTTTTCTCCTCCTCCAGCCTCTTGGTGTTCCTTACCCAGCTGCACCATGCATATCCTCCTTTAAACAGCTCTTTTGTGGTTAATTTAAATTAAAACTGAAAACGAGAGCCTTGTGCCTGTTCATCTTGCAGAACCTGCACGGTCTGAAGTACATTATTGCTCTTGACTGGTGGCTGTTGCGTGTGTCACCCGTCAGAGACAGCAGCACAGCAAACACCAGACTTTCGGAGAGTCTCGTACACGAGGTTCTCCTATAAGCCTGCGTGAGACAACGTAAAGGAGCATGTTCAGCTCCTGCGGGGGAAATATGTGGCTTTTGCGTCAGAGCGAGCTCTGGCGTTGCCTGCAGCTCCCTCACCATCACCATCACTTGGGTTTTGTGCTTTCCAACGCACCCCATCCTCCCTGGGACTTTCTGCCCGCTCTTCTCTCTGACTCCCTTCTGTTTTCCCCGGGCAATCCTTTCAATCTGCAGTGTAGTCATCCTGCTCTCAGAGCACAGTCCAGTCTTTAAGGTTTTTGATGTTAAGATTAACCCCTCAGCGTCCTTAGCAGCAGCTCGGCTTTTACTTTTTTTTGGACTGAGTTGATATCCATTGAAAAGGGTTTATGAGCTTTTAAGTTTTAAAACAGGGAGAGGGTAGGATCAGTGATTAAATTAAGTCTCTGTAACTCCACATCCAGTGCAGCTCTCCACCTCTTGCCAAGTTTTTCCGAGGTGCATCTCTCTGAAGGCAGCAAAGAGCCGGAGTCACCGCCGGGGTGAGGTGTGGGCATGATCTGCCCCGGTGCCATCAGCCACTGCCAGCCCAGCTACAGACCTGCCTCTGACAGGGAGATGGATGGACCATCTCAGGGGGAAAACATTTTTTAAGGTTGAGAAACCATCTTGTCCACAAACAATAAAGTAGTAACAAATGGAAAATATTTCTCTTGCTGGAGATTACACCATTTGTTTTCATTTTCCATGACATGTTTTGCTCGTTATGCTGCAGGAAGGGAATCCAAAGCTCTGTAAAGAACACCTCATGATGGCAGAGCAGGGAATCGAGCCGGGGTCGCTGCCGTCACGGCCGGGAACACGGGCCAGGGAGCAACAGGGGCTGGGGCTGGGGACACTGCTGTCCCCGTGGTGTCAGGGGGCTGGCTGTGTGTCCTCTGTCACTCCTGGGGGACTGGGAGGGTGGTGTCTCAGGGTTGTCTCAGGTTCTTGATGCTTCTGGACAATTTTCAAAGAAATGGCAGTGTTGAAGCAGGGTGTGAGCAGAGCCCTTTGGGCCTGGGGGCTGGTGTCATGCACAGGGGTGCTGCCACCCGTGTTCTGGGGCACCCGTGGGTGCTGGGTGTTTTCTTTGCCTGCTTTGGGGCTTGGGGTAATTTTATTTGGGTTTGGTTAATTCATGGGCAGGCCTCTCTGAAGAGCTGGCTGGTGGGTCGTTGAGGTGTCACTTCCAGACCCTTTCCAGCGTGTCCTCGTCTCGCTTGGTGGGATGAGGGTGCAAACTGAAATTTGCTGTTAATGAGTGGTGGCAGCCGAAGGGGTGGTTGGGACCTGTCTGAGTGTGTGTCTACCCTTAACATGGCAAAACGGGAAGGGAAAGTATAAACCTGCCAACCCCCCAAACATGGAACTGCCCCTGTAGTGGTGACACACATCGGGGACACCAGGACAGGGTGGTTGGTGTTGGGAAGGGTCTTCTGGGTCTGATGGTCTTGGATTGTTGGGTGTTTTCCAAATCAGACGTTTCACTAAGTACAGTAACCTGGGGCTAGGCAGTGGGGGAGCTTTGTGTTAAGCCTGATGTGGGTCTGTGCCCCCCATTCGTTCCTGGGCCTTTTGGGGGGGTCTTTTCAGCCCCAGGTCCCAGCCCTTCTCACAGTCACCCCCACGGCAGGTTTATATTGTTCATAGCCCGGTGCTGCCGCAGCTGAAATGGAGCTGTGGTGTGTTCTCACGTGTGCCCCCGTGTCGTGACACACCTGGTGTGCTCCAGCATGTGCCCCCGTGTCGTGACACGCCTGGTGTGCCCCCGTGTCGTGACACATATGATGTGTTCTGGTGTGTGCCCCCGTGTCGTGACACGCCAGCGCACGCCCATCTCCCGAGTGGGTTCCAGAGACAGAGACTTAAGAGTCTTTTTCCCCTAAAGCCCCGAGTGTTCTGCTGTAGTACATAACTTAAATTTATCAAGGTCACTGAACCCTGTTTAATGTGTTTCTGCAGAGATGACAGGGTACAAAAGATTGTTTTGTGCCCTTCTGTCAGAAGGATGAAGCTGTAATACAAGAGCTCAGTTATTTGTGTGCTGAAGGGGCCGTGGTTCTCTACTGATATGACAGATTCACTAATGATACCTGACAGAAGTATTGCAAAGGAATAATTGTAAAAAACTCTTCTATCATGCACTGTTTTTAAAAAGAAAATATTTTCTTTTTATAATATCAAGAACGTGGCCTCCCATGTGATGAAATACTGAGTTGAGGTGCCTACTCCAGGAGGTGTAAATTGAATAGAAAAATATTATTGCTATATTTTGAAGCAGTTTCCTGTCTGTAGAGAGTTTTAATTTGGGGGGCAGATTTTGTATTTTAATAGTTTTTATTGATTTCAAAGCAATTCCAGAGTATTGTCACTGTCTTGCTTGGGAGGCGCTGGGGTCGGATGGCGGTTGCTCGGCGCTGACGGTTTATGCCAGCGGAGCCGGGCTGCGGCAGCCTGGAATGGCTTGTCCCTTAAAAATTTTCCACCTAACACTTTCTGCTGCTTTTTTTGTTTTTTTGTAACGTTTACAGCAGAGAAATGCCATGTTTGGTGTAAGATCCTGCTTAATTTTTACAAGTTATTCTTGTTTGTTGTTTTTTAAGGCAAAGTCATCAACAAGGACCTGCGCCACTACTTGAGCCTCCAGTTCCAGAAGGGCTCCATAGACCATAAGCTCCAGCAAGTGATCAGAGACAATCTCTACCTGAGAACCATCCCTTGTAAGTATGTAAAGATCATCCTCGTGAGATCTGTTCCTGCTGATGATCACATCACGTGAGAGCATTCAATGCCTTCTCTCCTGCTCTGGTCTGCAGTGTCACCTCGCAGCAGGAGCTCCTCTAAAGGGCTTTGCTGGAGTAGTTTCACATCTTAAGTTGCAATGAAAGGTACAGCCCATACGGACTGACAACACAGCAGAAACCTCGGTGTTCAAAGCACAGAGTATTTCAGGAATATCTGCATTTTACGTAGCGGAATGTTGTCGGTTGTGGTCAGAACCACAGCCACCGCGGGGAAAGAAACTTTCTCAGCACCATCAAACAGCATGAAGGTGTCCTGGTTTCTGTCAGCAGTGGGTTGTGCACCAAGAGGGAGCTCACAGCTCCCACATGGTTGGGCAGAGCAATGTAGAGGGTCCCAAAGGGTCGTGGTAACACGAGGTGGGGACAGCTCTTGTTGGCTTGTCCTTGGAAGACAGTACAAGGAGGTGATGGGACAAGGAGGTAACAGCAAGAGAGAGAGTGAACCCACAGCCGAGGTGGGGACAGCTCTTGTTGGCTTGTCCTGGGAAGATAGTACAAAGAGATGATGGGACAAGGAGGTGACAGCAAGAGAGAGAGTGAACCCACAGCTCAAGAACAAGGGGAGGAAACAGCGCATGGGCAAACTTCAGTGTCACAGCAAGAATTAATTAGTCAGAGAATCTGGCTGGGCCTGTCCCATCAGTTGTGCCAGCCCTTCTGCTCTGAGATCTGCTGGCACCTTTCGGGTCAACCAGCCCAGGCTCCCCTGCTTTGGGGGTGCCAGAGGGTCCCCCTCCCCCAGCAGATCCTGGAGGAACCACTGTGCACAGCACAGGGCAGTGACAGTGACCAGATGCCCTGTCCCTGCCCCTCACCCTTCTGTGCCCCTTCATTTCTTAAATACCACAGGATCATCCTTTGCCTTGTCTCAAAGGTTCTCTGATTAAAGAGGCTCATCACCAATTGCATTTAAATACTCATTGCACCGAAAACTTAAAAGTTGGTCAATTAATGCTGCAGGAATTCCATTCTCAATTTAGCATCATTATATTGAGTGTGCCCAAGGGTTTGTGACTTTCTTAAAAGATAATAACAGTGAAAGGCAGTTTGTTTACAAGCAGCTCTTGTTCATGCTGCTGCCTGAAAAAAATGATGTATGCCTTTAAAATTCTGTTAGGTTATAGGCAGTAGTGAACCAGTGGAGTCCTTTCTAGGAAAACTTTAATTAAGCTGTTATAACTATGGGAGGCCTGTATTTATAGATGTAACACTGGAGAACTTCTACATTAACGCAGCCATTTACTGATTACTTTGAAACTGTACCTATAGCTGGGTTTTGGAGATGTAACACTGGAGAACTTCTACATTAACACAGCCATTTACTTTGAAACTGTACCTATAGCTGGGGTTTGTAGTATAGATGAATTACACTCTAAATTGTAAGGTTAAAAAGTAGCTTTTGTGCCCAGTTATAGATTTGATGGCCCAAAAATCTCATGTGTAGAGTCCACAGACCTCATTACAGATTAGCAGGCGGTGGGAGCAGTGGGGAGATGAAGCCCCCTTTCAGCCCAGGCTCTTACACAGCTCCCCCAGTCCCAGGCACTGTCATCTAAATTGTAAGGTTAAAAAGTAGCTTTTGGCACAGTTATAGATTTGGCAGCCCAAAAATCTCATGTGCTGAGTCCCACAGACCTCATTACAGATTAGCATGCGGTGGGAGCAGTGGGCCCTTACACAACTCCCCCAGTCTTGGGCACCGTCACCCGGCTCCGGTGGCATCTGCTGCCTCAGAACGGGTTTTTTGGTTCACTGAGCATAAGAATGAATTCTCTCTAATTACCACCTCACCCAGTTGTTTTTTTTTTTTTCTCCTCCTTCCTCAATTCCAGAGCTGTCATTCCTATGCGATCTATTGGCCTAGTTTGTATCCATTATTTGTTCACTTGCTCAGCAGTGTCCTAACCCTTGTCTTTCTGGGGTGACATCAGCATTGTGTAAAGATTCAAAAATGTAGTGTTTTTCCTGCGCTGTGCAGCAGGCACGCTGCAAACGGGCAGCGCTTCGGTATCTTACAAGAGTGTTTTCTCTGTCTTTTCAGGCACTACCAGGGCTCCCAGGGATGGGGAGGTCCCTGGGGTAGACTATAATTTCATTCCGGTGGAGCAGTTTAAAGCACTGGAAGAAAGTGGAGCCCTCCTGGAGAGCGGAACCTATGACGGTACGTTGGTGACGTTTGATGGAGCAGGAGTAAGGACCCACAGCTCGAGTCCAGTATCTTGGTCCAAGTGTAGCCCCTTGTACCCAGGAGGTGCCACCTTTCCTGCCCATTGATGGCCATTAACTCACAGAGCAGCAATATTAAATCCATCTTCGGAGTACCGTGCAGAGGAGCAGTGCTCTGCTTCTGAAGCTCTCTAGTAAATAACAACTTGTCCTTTCAACCAGTCCTCGTGCAACCTGATCGTTGTCCCTGTTGTGGTTTTGAGGAAGCATCCTGAAAACGTTCCTCTGTGCTTGGCAGAATTGTCTTTTAATGGCATTCATAGTCCATTTTGTTTAAGCCTTGGAGAACAGAGCCCTGTTCTTCTCAGAGGTGCGCATCAAAAAGACAGAAGGCAAGGGAAGTTCTGGTACAGCAGGGGAAAAAAAAAAAAGTATTTTGCAATGAAAAATTGAACAGCGCTGGACCAGATTGTCCAAATCTGCAGCAATGTTGGGTTTGTTAAATGTGATGGGGAAAAACACTGCAGTGAAGGTAGTGAACCCTCAGGAACTGGTTGTCCAGAGAAGTCATGAGCTGCCACTGTGTGATGGGCTCCTGCTCTGCTCTACTTGGAGTCATGAGCTGCCACTGTGTGATGGGCTTCTGCTCTGCTTTCTGTGGTTTAAAGGGTTTTTCAGTGATATAGTTGTTAACTAAATTACAGCCAAATTTTCCGAAAAGCTGAGCACGTGCAGCTTTCATCAAGAGAATTTACCAGATTATAAACCTGCCTGATTTTTACCTATGTTTAACATACATTTGGTTAGAAAACATCCGAAGCAGAGAACTCTGTGAAGGGCTCTGTACCCCCGTTTTACGTGTCTCGTGCTCTCTGGTGCCATTGTCCTGTCTGTGGAAATGGCCCAAGCAAATTGAGACAGAACTGGCTCTTTTGTTCTATTTCTCCTCAGCCCCCTCTGTCTGGCTGTCACTGCTCTCAGCCGCGCCCTCGCTCCTATTTTCAGAAGGATTTCTTTTCCTTTTTTTCTTTAACATGGTCAAAACCACATCCAGCAACAGAAGTGACCCCGGCAGGAGTTCTGGGAAGCTCTCTTGCTGTGTGCTCAATTCCCTAATAAAAATCACATGAGCAGTCAAGAGAGAGGTCAATTGCTGAAATTCTTTTCCAGCAAACAACAGATGATTCCTGGTCTTTGTGTTTTAGATTAAAATATTGAAGTAAAAATCTGTTCATTTTTCTCAAGTACAAATCATTTTTAGACAAAGCTTTATTGTCAGTAGAAAACTGTAGGGTTCTAGTTTTAAAATCACTTGCTTGTAACTGTTTTTATGTAAATAGGTACTTTATGTTTCTGCACAAAATGAATTTGCTTTTTGACTTTAGTGTGTTTCTGTTGCTGCACATTACTCTGTTCATCAGTTACGCAGTGTATAGAGTAACGACAATTGATTTTCACTGCTTTGCTTCTCTCAGACTGTTCCCCAAGTCTCTTTATGGCACGTTAGTGAATTCCAGGCAAAGTAACAAATCCGTCTTTTTCTTTGAAAACCTGGGGCAGGGTAGAAATTTTGAACTAAACGTACTGTTTTGTGATGTACAATAGCATCACTGGCAGAAAGACAATGTGGGGATAAATAGGTTTTGACTGGTGATTGGTTTTTGACAGTGCTGATTCTTCTTTAAGAAGAGAAGTTACAGTTCAAGTCTTTTCACTGAAAACACCTTAAATAGGTGCACAAGGGCAATGACACCCTCACTGCAGTGTCACCCTTCCATGATCTTCATTTCTCTCTCCTCACCAGGTAATTTTTACGGCACTCCGAAGCCTCCGGCAGAGCCCAGCCCCTTCCAGCCTGATCCAGTGGATCAAGTTATTTTTGACAATGATTTTGATACTGAAACGCAGAGGAAAAGAACCACGTCCGTCAGCAAAATGCAAAGGATGGACAGTTCTCTCCCCGAGGAGGAGGAAGAGGAGGAGAAGGACGCGGTTAATGGCAGCGGAGGGATAGGTTGGTTGACAAGGGGAGAAATTCCCTGCAGTATTGTAGGGATGGGTAAGAACTATACAGATAACATTCGCACTTGCTTGAACCACTTCCTTAGTTTTGGTAAGGTTTGAAGGCAGTTTTCTATTCAGACTGGTGTTTTTACTGGATTTTGAAATGATCTTTTAAAAAGAAACAGCTGTTCTCCCAGCCAGATGTGCAGTTGCATCACAGAGAGCAGTGCTCAGCGGAGAACACGCAGTGCTGGGTATCGGCCAGTTACATGAGGAGGAAGGAAAAATCTGTGCACTCTCCAAATTAACAGCATCCTTTGTAGAGTGTGTTCCTGCCCTGGAAATGTTAGTGTTTCGTTTTGGGGAGATTACTGATTTCTGTACCGGAGACTAGAGCAAAACGAGTGGTTTAAGGGGCAGCCCTAGCTCATATTGTACAGTTTTCAGGTGATTCTCGTTAAGGGAACTGTCACACAACCTGAAACTGCCCGAAGGGGAGTGTGTGGAGGGAAGTACAGCTGAGCATGGTGAGCCTGGGACGTGTCTGGTGGGACGTGTCAGAGCTGGGCAGGGTGTCCTTGTCCTTGGGCTGTCACCCTTCCTCATGGAGGGTGGGTGCTGGTGGCAGGGGGAAGCCATCACGTTGCATTTGTGGATGATCCTGCATGAGTGTCTAAGACAGAATTATTGAGCAGACCCCCCCAATCTTGTGAGCTCTGGGGTATGCAAGGTCTTGGACACTGTGGTGTGAGGGAGGGCACTGAGAGCAACCTCGGGGCTGGAGGGTGGACACTTGCATTTAAAGTTTTCTGCAGAGATTTTGGGGATCTTTTTCCTCTTGTGGCTTGAGGGAGGGTTGTTGGCTTGCATTTAAAGTTTTCTGCAGAGATTTTGGGGATCTTTTTCCCCTTGTGGCTTGCGGGAGGGTTGTTGGGTAGTTTGGGTCTTCTCTACGTTTCGTTCTGGTGCTTTGAGGAATATCAGTAGGATCTGGGGGGAGTTGATGGCATTACAAACACTGCTCTCTGTGTGGGAACGGCACCAAAGTGGAGTCAACTTGGATTTGGGCCAGCGTTGATTTTTCAGCGTAGGCTCAGACACATAATACGAGGTTAATTCTGTTTGGCAGGGGAAAAGCAGAGTTCAGTGTTTTCGTGTCAGCTTTTCAAAGTTCACAGCTGAAAAAAAAGTAGTGGAAAAATGCACATCACATACAGGGACGTGTTTGACATCCACTCGTAGCCAGATTAAGAGGGTGGTTCTTGGTGAGAAACAACATAAACAACTGACAAATAGTAACACTTTCCCCGAACAACTGCAGAAAACAAAGAAAAACATTCAGATTCTCCTGACTGGATGAAACCTGTTCCCAGCTACAACCAGACAAGCAGCTCCATGGATTTCAGGAATTACTTGTCGAGGGATGAAACCCTGGAACCGCTGCCCAAGAACTGGGAGATGGCCTACACCGACACGGGCATGATCTACTTCATCGAGTGAGTGGACACACATGGAGGGGCTGCTCTGCCCCACGGTGGGGGGGGAATTGCTGGTGGGCTGTGCTTGGGAAGCTCTTAGTCCTCTCTCGTGCTCTGACTGCTTCTGTTTCTGTGTGAAATTTCATGTATTTCTGCTGTTCTGTCCCTTATTGCTGGTCACCTCTGCTGCATGCCTGGTACAATTGCCATCACGCAGGAAAAACCTTATGGTTCCACGTGCAAACCCAGTTTGTTTGTAATACGAGTTCTGTATCTCACAAAATTAAAGGCTGGGTGGGCATTAGGTGAGGTATGACATTTTGTAAACCTTCACTATGTCAAATTTCTCTGAAATGGGAGAGCTTGTTTACTCTTTCTTCGCTGCTTGTGTTCCTTGGCTGGGAATGCTGCTAGAGAACACAGACAGCACAGATTAAACCCAGAATAGGAACACAGCTCATATGTGCACATGGGGAACAGCCTCATTTATTAATTTCTAAAGGAAACAAAAAACTGACTGAGATTTAAGCAGAAGAAGAGGCTAAAAATGTTGTTTCCTTTCAGGTAGAAACAGCTGATATTCCCACATGAGCTCCTGGGGAGAGTGTTTTCACCTCTAACATTTCACATCTGTCCTGGAGAGTGTCCAATGTGCTCCTACCTCTGAGCATTGTTGTTGCCTTTTTTTAGCATTTTATGGTGTGACTGAGGCACAAGTAAAGGTCACATTATCTTAAGGCTACAGTTTGCACATGGTAGTAAACATCTAACAGTCAGAGTAAAGCAAAGTTTCTTCAGTCTGAGGGGGTTCTCTTACCCAACGGTGTGTTCTGCTCCACAGCCACAACACCAAGACAACCACGTGGCTTGATCCGCGGCTCTGTAAGAAAGCCAAAGCTCCAGAGGACTGTGAAGATGGAGGTGAGATGTTCAGAATTCGTTTGTTACCCTTGGCTGATAAATGTCTGAGTCGGTCAGAGCTGGACACGACCTGTCACTGCTGTGGTGGGAGCTGCTTCCAGGTGCAGGGGATGGGAGCAGTGCTGAGTGTCCCCACTTTGGTGGCAATAGGGTTTCAGCTAAGACTGGGAAAGTCCACGGTGTGTTTTCCCTGGAGCAGTAGAATCTGGCAGGATGGTGGGTTTATCTGCATTCCTGAGAGGAGAATGAGGTGTTTTGTTCCAGTAACCATCATTCTAGGGAGAAAGCTGCGTGTGTTGGTGATGATCTCACTGGAAATTGTTGTGCAGGTGGAATGTGGCAGGAGGAGAAGATCCATAGGTGCTAGAATATAGGAGTAATGAAGAAGATACAGCATGATACCTTTTGCTAATGGAGCACCTCTGCTACGAGGACAGGCTGAGGGAGCTGGGGTTGTTCAGCCTGGAGAAGAGGAGGCTCTGGGGAGACCTAATAGCAGCCTTCCAGTACCTGAAGGGAGCCTACAGGAAGGCTGGGGAGAGCCTGTTTAGAAAGGCCTGCAGTGACAGGACGAGGGGCAATGGCTTCAAGCTGGAGGGGAACAGCTTTAGACTGGAGATGAGGAGAGGGTTCTTCACTGTGAGGGGGGTGGAGCACTGGAACAGGTTGCCCAGGGAGGTGGTTGAGGCCCCTTGCCTGGAGATATTCAAGGAGAGGCTCGACGAGGCCCTGGGCAACCTGGTCTAGTTGGGGGTGTCCCTGCTGACCGCAGGGGAGGGCGGAACAGATGGCCTTTGGAGGTCCCTTCTGGCCTGGGCAATTCTATGATTTTATGATACCTTTTGCATGGGACATGATATAATACTTGAATCCATAAGTAGAGGGACTGATCTGACTCCCTTAAACTCTTCACACTGTTGCTTCAGGACTTAAGGTCAGGTTGATGGTTGGCCTGTGGACAATTCCTGCAACCATTTCCTACACAGGCATGCAGTTTAGTCAGCCAGAAAAGCACTGAATAGCTCGTATCTTCAGCAAAATGCCTGACACGTTACAAAAGCTGAGGCAGACTCAGAATAGCCTGTCGTCTTCTCCACTGCACAGCCTGACAATCCCGTATTCATAATGACGCCAGCTGGAGCCACGGGCGCGTACGGCTGCTTATTAAACATATGTGCAGCTCACCACGGGATAAAGAGAGCACTTTAAACAGAGAGATGCAGGATATCCAAATGAACAACATTTAAATGAATGGACCCACTGGGTCTTTTGTCAAACCCTGTGGAGTGATGCTGGTATTAATAATTGGGAACATGCTGTCATATGCTGGGAGAATTCCTGTTAGCGCCAAATTTGGGGCAGCCTCGAACAAGGTGACATGGCAATTTTATCCTGCGAATGTCAAGCTGCCTGGCTGTGTCTATTATGCTGGTACTTAACATTTCCATGGTCAAGATAACTCGAGCAGTAAAGCTGGAGTAAGAGGGACTGATCTGACTCCCTTAAACTCTTCACACTGTTGCTTCAGGACTTAAGGTCAGGTTGATGGTTGGCCTGTGGACAATTCCTGCAACCATTTCCTACACAGGCATGCAGTTTAGTCAGCCAGAAAAGCACTGAATAGCTCGTATCTTCAGCAAAATGCCTGACACGTTACAAAAGCTGAGGCAGACTCAGAATAGCCTGTCGTCTTCTCCACTGCACAGCCTGACAATCCCGTATTCATAATGACGCCAGCTGGAGCCACGGGCGCGTACGGCTGCTTATTAAACATATGTGCAGCTCACCACGGGATAAAGAGAGCACTTTAAACAGAGAGATGCAGGATATCCAAATGAACAACATTTAAATGAATGGACCCACTGGGTCTTTTGTCAAACCCTGTGGAGTGATGCTGGTATTAATAATTGGGAACATGCTGTCATATGCTGGGAGAATTCCTGTTAGCGCCAAATTTGGGGCAGCCTCGAACAAGGTGACATGGCAATTTTATCCTGCGAATGTCAAGCTGCCTGGCTGTGTCTATTATGCTGGTACTTAACATTTCCATGGTCAAGATAACTCGAGCAGTAAAGCTTGGACCTCTGTGTTACCTGCTCATCGCCTTCAGTCAGTAATGATCTGCTGCTGGGCACCGTCTTACCAGACTCAGAATTTGCCATAAAAAGGTGCTTTTCCCATGGAACTGTTGGTACCTGTATCAAATGGGTATTTTTTTATCCCCCCCGGCTTAAGGGATGCCCAAGCCATGTCAGCAGCCTGCAGTGGTGCAGGAGCCATCAGGCTGCCTTGGACGTGCCCACCCCAACACAGGCACTGCCTGATTCTGGGGGGGTCTCACTGGATTATAGACATGGGGGCTAAATAGCCTCCCCCAGGGGGGGCTCATCCTGCTCAGCACGGAGGGCTGTGACTGTTCTGAGTGGTGTCAGAATGCAGTGAAATGTCCTGATGTTATTGAGAGGATAAACAGAGGCAGCATTGCATCTGCCAGGGGCTCTGAAACAGAAGGTTCAAGGGGAGTGGAGGTGCCTGGGTTTACAAGCTCGGGCTGAGATCCCACCAAGCATTTATAGCTCTAATTTGTGGTGTATTGGGGGCAGAAGCACTGTGACCATATTCATATTGTATAGTTTATGAAGTCAACAACTATCAAATCGCATTAATAATTTATAGCCAGATTAAATAATGTATTTTTCTTCCCCCTTATAGGTTTATAACCTAGTTTGTGTCTTGTCTTTTAAGTTTATTATATGTTTAAAGTGGTGTGATTTTGTTGAATACAAGTCTCATCAGTGGAACAAAGAGTGAGAGTTAGAGAGCTCCAGAGTCCCAGGAACAGGCTGGTACCCTTCGTACCATCAAACAGATGAGGGGAAGTGTAAAGGACCTGTATTTTCCTCATATTTTTCATGAGTCTGTAATCTGTCCTCTCGCTCCTCCATAAAAACTCTGATATTTGCAGATAGTTTTCCACTGTAATGGGGAACTCTGTTCTTCTTGATTGCAGAACTTCCTTATGGGTGGGAAAAAATCGAAGACCCTCAATACGGAACGTACTACGTTGAGTAAGTGCTAATTAATAATTGGAGGTGGTTGTACCTTGAGCAGAAGGCAGGGGAGCCGTGGCTGTGAGGTGTGTGTGGGCTGTGGTGCAACGGGAGCACTCACCACATCCCACAGCAGCAGCCCCAAGGCAGAGAGTGCAGGGACACCCTCTCCCCCGGGGAGGTCCAAGCTGGGACATCGGTGACTCATGAGCCCGTTACCACCGGGGTGGGAGCACAAGTGGCAGCCAAAGCCATTCATTAATGGGAATGAGCTGATGTCATTTTTGTTAGCTCTACCAAGGATGGGGTCACTTGATTTAAGAGCAGCGCCTGAGAACTGCCAAAGAGCAAGAGTAAGTTGTATCTCATCTCTGTCACCAAAGAGCCGAGTAAATAACTCCTAAATTGCTGCCAGAGCCCGTCTGAATCTCCTTCAGGTCAGAGTAAATTAAGACTCCCTTCAGCCACGGAGAAGGAAATTAGTAGAGTTGAAAGCCTCAGCTTCAGAGAACAAGCTCATGGGTTTTGACTTTGCAACACCAACCCAGGCATTTAAATTCTGCTCAAACTTACTGGTTTTTCCCACTCTGCTGTACTGCTCTGGCGTCTGCTCCTAAAACGGTGATGTCTGAGTTTGTAAACATTGTAGGTAGATGGAAGCAACACATAACAAAAGAGAAAAAGCAGATTTTCTCAGTTCTAATTTATTACAACCTTCTGAAAATTTGCAGAAAGGATTGAAGGTTTGCTCTACCTGATAACTACAGGAAGTAGAATTGTATTGGCTCTTAAAGTAAATAGGGTTGTTGAAAAAACAAAAAAGCTTTCAGTGTTGATTATGATTGTTTATTGTCATTCCTCCAGAGCACTAAATCTGAGATACAAAAAAATAGTATTTGCAGAGGTATCTTTTGTGGTTGAAATTTCAGCTTTCTGCTGAGATCCTAATCAAGCTTCTGTATGTCTGCAGTCACATTAACCAGAAAACTCAGTTTGAAAACCCGGTGTTGGAAGCCAAAAGGAAAAAACAGCTGGGACAGACTGACATTGGCTCTTCAAAATCAGGTACCACTGAACGGTGTGTTCTTTGTCACCAGCATCTTTATCTGCCACTGTGATTGTAAGTAACTGATGCTGGAATTAATCAAGGCATTAGCCTTGTCTTCGTGCTGGCCATTGTGGTGTTGCCCTCCCAAATCTGCAGGGTTTTTTGAACAATTTTTTAAATGTTAAAATTGAATCAAGACCATAAGACTGCTTTAAAATAATTCTGATTGTTCCAAGCTGGTTGCCATGAGCAGCTTTTGAATATAGGGAGTGTTAGAAGAGCCAGGCAGGAGATGCAGGTTAAACCACACATAGAATTTTTATGCTTTTGATCTACTTTAAGCTTGGTATTCAGGGGGTGGAGTGTAGAACTGGGAATTACAGATGGGAGCTTTCATTCCAGTGCTGTTGTAGTCTATTCTATGGTCTTGGAAACACTCAGACTTTCCTGTTCACTTACCTCAGTTGTGAAGGAGCGTTATAGTGTCCTGTTTGCTTTCCTCTGTAACAGTGCTAACCAAAAAATCATTAACCTGTATCACACCCTAAACCCAAACAAACAAAGAAATTACTGAAACTGGTTCACTTACCTCAGTTGTGAAGGAGCGTTACAGTGTCCTGTTTGCTTTCCTCCGTAACAGTGCTAAGGTCAGCCAGTGCTAACCAAAAAATCCTTAACCTGTATTACACCCTGAACCCAAAAAAAGAAAGAAATTACTGAAACTAACCCTGGTTTCCTGCCTTCATGGCTCTTTATTCCATAACTCTAAAGGAGCAGAGAAGTCTGTCTTCACGAGAGACCCAGCCCAGCTCACGGGAGCGCTCATACGGACAGCGCTGAAAAAAAGTACAATGGGCTTTGGCTTCACCATCATTGGAGGGGACAGACCTGATGAGTTCCTGCAGGTGAAGAACGTGTTAAAAGACGGCCCCGCTGCACAAGATGGGAGAATTGCACCAGGTAAAGTGTTATTTCTCTAAACTCCCAGTTTCTGTGCTGCTTTTAGAGAGTGCAGCTCCTGAGGGGCAGGAGGTTGGGTGACTCCATCCCCTCTGAAAATGACCCCCTCGCTCAATGAAATCGTTCCCAGGTCTGTGAGAGATCTGTGCAGAACCGTGGCTCAGAAGCAGCATTCTAGATACAGATCTACTTTGAGGACATTTCTGAAGATTTCAGCAGTTCTGCTTCAACCAGAGCTTTTGGCTTCGTGGTTGTTGACGGAACGGCCTTTTGTTCCCTCTCTATACGGAAAGTAAAAATAGTGTGTTTGAATCCTGGTCTCTGTTGTACCTTGTTGCTGCCAAAAAACATAACACTAAATACTGAAACTGCAAAAAGCCTGCAGCAGGAAGGCCAGGGAAAGCTGTGGGCACTGGGAAGGGAGGGAACGAGGGGCCAGAGCACCTGCAGCCCATGGTGTTATATGTTTAATTAAGTTACCTGTAAGCTCACTGTAACGTACGGTTTGCATACTATAAAAATCAAAATGCTTCTTTACGTATCACATAAATGCCCTTAATCTTTAGAGAAGGGTTCATGCTTTAGATGATTTAATGCTATTTACTAATGAGATGAAATGAAAGGATTGCCCGTCCGTTGCTGACCCGTCGTGTGAATGGTTTGTGCGGGGTTCCTTTCCTCCTCTGTGGGATGGAGGAGGACCCCGCAGCGTGGTGCTGGGGTGGGAGGGTTCCTGTGGGGGGACGTGGGTCTGTCCCTGCTGCAGGTCATGCTGTAAGAGAGTTCTGGATCACTCATTGCCAGGCATTTAGGAGAATAGACCATTTGCTGGGAATATTGTAGTGCACATGCAAAGTTTCCTGATCAAAATGGTGAAAATTATGAAACGAGGTTTCAGGATCTGGAGATCCCGAAACCAGATTCCATCTGCTCCAGTTTGAAAATACGAGTTTAGCCCTGTGTGGGCACAGTGTGAGACATGGAACGTGTGTGGGCGCAATCCGAGCTTAAGTTCAGCCAGTCCTAAAATAAACATAGGACCCCCCCCCCAAAAAAAATCCGATTTATTCTGGGTGGAGTTTAGATGCTGTACCATATGAATTAAAGGGGAAGACATCTGCTTGCAGGAGTGTGCGTGCGCTGCTTCATCTCCTCTGCCCGGACACTGGCATTTTTTAAATCTGCTGCAGATTAAACTTTATATCTTTAGTACGCTGTGTTCTGAGATGAAATAGAATAAATGCAAAGAGGAAATCCTTTGTGCTTTCTGGCAACAGATCGCCAGGAGGTGATGGCCCAGCCACCGTTCATTACTAGTTTTGGAGACTGCAGAGTGATTCCCTCCTTGGGCTTTTGCTTGGAGCCTCCAACAGCTCTGGGTGTTGGAGATCTGGGTGCTTTTGTTTCTGGTTTTGACGCTGTTGAACTTTCCTTTGTGACAGGGGATGTCATTGTAGACATAAATGGAAGTTGTGTCCTGGGCCATACCCATGCAGATGTTGTCCAGATGTTTCAGCTCGTTCCTGTCAATCAGTACGTGAACATGACTTTGTGTCGTGGTTACCCTCTTCCTGATGACAACGAAGACCCTGTGGTGGACATTGTGACAGCTACACCCATCATTAATGGACCTCCTGTGGCCAAGGGGGATGTGTGTGTGGCCAGCCAGGATTTAATAGCAGGAACGGTTGTGTTGGACCAGAACGGGAAGATGGGCCCTATGTTGGTTAATGGTCGTCTCAACGGCCCTTCCATGGACACAACTGAGCAGAGGATCTCTCTTGCCTCCTCAGGAGGCTCCCAGCCGGAGCTGGTCACCATTCCTCTCATCAAAGGTCCTAAAGGCTTTGGGTTTGCCATTGCGGACAGTCCTACAGGACAGAAGGTGAAGATGATTTTGGACAGCCAGTGGTGCCAGGGTCTTCAGAAAGGGGACGTCATCAAGGAGATTTGCCATCAGAACGTGCAGAGCTTGACACACCTGCAGGTGGTGGAGGTGCTGAAGCAGTTCCCAGTAGGAGCAGAGGTGCCGCTGCTCATCTTAAGAGGAGGTAAATTCACAGTTGTCATATACGGTTATATGCTTTTTAAAAGTCCTTTTTAGTGTGATACCTAAATCGTGTCCAGTCTTGACAGCTAAGTAGCAGCTTATTATGCCTCTGAGCTGTTATGTTCCAAGTTTAATTTATACCCCTGAGGATTTGGGGTGAGAGCATGTTGCTAAGGGTTTTTTTTTTCAGAAATTTTATTGCGATACGTTTATGCGCTGTCTCTTCCAAGTGTCTGGGGAGCGCTAAAGCAGAAATGCAGGCTCTAGCGTAACACAAAGCACATGATGGATAGAGGCTCTCCAAGTGTGTTCCAGTAACTGTAGCTGTAATGGGCTGGTGGCCACAGGAGACAGGAGGGAACGGCAGTGATGAGGTGGAGCTGGTCGCTGGAAATACCAAGATAATGCTCATTTTTGCGTTTGCATAGTTATACCTCTTCGTTGACTGTCAGTCACAGGCAAGAAGGTGTCTTTTCCCAAAAAGCTGAGTAGTGGGTAGTGTGCCTTTGCCAGGAGCTGGAGGAATTAGGAAGTGACACGTGGCTGCTGAGCGTCCCTTTAGGCTTTTCTTGCAGCCTGGGGGTGTCACATCCATCAGTTACTGGCAAAAATCTTCAGGTCTGTTGCTGTATGAATGCTGCTATTCCTCAATCAGCTAAGGAAATAACTAGATTTCTTTGGCAGCAAGTGAAATTCCTCGACACAAATTCAGGAGGTCTCTGTAGCAAGGAACTGCTGTGTGATTCGATTGACCAGCACTGAGCAAAAAGAGAAATAGATGGGTTTTGTTGTTACACGGCTCGCAGTTCTGATTTGAGACTTCTCTCAAGTGATGTTTTTGGTCAAATGAACCCTCACTTTGTCACTTAAAAGAGGAGTGAATAAGCAGTTATGATTTTCCACCCAGGAGGAGCTGATTATATTGCATTAAAGCTGTTTAAACTTTTGGTGACCTAGTATTGAGATAGCTTTCTACATTGTGTTTCCTTCAGGTCCACCCTCACCTACCAAAACTGCCAAAGCGGTGAGTATTAGCTATGTATTTAAATTTGTTTCTGATGGAGCATATTCGGGGGTGTTTGGTTGCAAAACAGACTCATAAATAGGGTCTACTTAACACAAGAGAATCCCTTGATTTTTTTGAGTTGTCTAATGGAGGTGATGGATATCTCTTCTCTTACTGCTGGGGAATCAAGAATGCAGCAAAGATCTTGTGTGATGACGGTGTAGTGTTGTCATGATTTTAAATATGACATTGTCACATAAATTCTATCATTATTTCCCTTTTTTGCACTATATTTGAAATTCCTGTCTGTGTGCACTCTTTGACCTGCTTTTGAAATCTCATCTTCTCAGGATGTCAGTCCCTGGGGTATCCGCAGGATGGTTCAGCAAAACCACATCTACTTGGCTGGCATGAATTCATTGTCTTAAGTAACTGCTGTCAGAGTGCCCACTAAAAGGGAAACAAAATACAGTATTTATGTTTTTTTCATTGCTAATTACCCATATTAAAGTGAAATGGGATTTCTGAAGGAGGTTTACGGTACTTTGATACTGCTCAATCCTTGCATAGACTTAATGGGCTGGCTCGTTCTCCCATTTTAAAGTGCTTGCTTATCTTTGAATCCATATTTTCAGGAAGTCTCTACATAGCTGTGCATTTCTGGTTTGACACTCATTATTCTTGGCAGCTCGATCTGTTGCAGTATCTTTAATATATATTAGCTCAGTAAAGAATCCTTGGGCTTAATAAAATCCCTCCTGATTTGTTAATGCTGCTAGTAATGCATCTTTCTGTCGTTGAGTGCTTCTTGTACAAATGAGGCTGGTCAGTGAACGGAGCTGTTTCTTTATAATGTTTCTTGTACAGAACAAATTATTTCATTTTAGGAAGAGCCCATTTCCAAGAGGTAGATGTAGCTTCTTTTCCTCTCTTTGTCTGGCTGTTGAGTATTGATGCTGTGTCCCAGCAGGGGATAATGTGAGCGTGGGACAGGCTGCACCCCATAAGCTTTGCAGGTTCCTTTCCTTGCATCCGTAGAGCTGCCCACCCCAACGATTTGGGGTAAATCCCTGTGGTTTGGGGGCACGGGGCTCGTCAGGCTCCCGTCTCACCGCACCCTGAAAATCCTTTGGGCTCAGGACTGGCATCCCAGCATGGGCAGTACCAGCTTCCCACGGAGCACTCGATGTTCAGTGGCATTAAGCAGCGTGGCAAAATAGCTCTGTTAAAAAGGGCAAGTTCGTGTGTTTGTAAACATACAAGAAGTGTCAAAGTGCTAAACCCCTCGGGGGAGTTCTCTCCACTCCTCGTAAAAGGGCATAGCTAAGGCTGTTCTGCTTGTGCTTCTGTTTAACACGCACAGACACATGCAGATGACCATGTTCCAGTTTCCTGGGTTTCAGCCCAGAATAAGTATTTGGAGTTACTTTAGTGCATCATCGACTGGCAATTAGGCTGGGAGACCACAAGGATGCTCGGTCTCCTTTCTTCATGAAATACTAATAGGAGTGTTGCAGCTATCAGGTCATTAAAAAAATATGCAAGTACTGAATTACTAATTCCTGCACTGCCCGAGTGTATTCCTCCTGCTTGGTTTTTGTGATGCCCCAGGACACCTGCAGCAGCCTGGGGTGCTGGTGTTGGGCCATCCCCACCGAGCCCTCCTGCCCGTGGTCCAGAGCTTGGAGCTCTGGCTGGAGGAGGTCCTGTCCCCCTTGTGTCATCCCATGGCCCAGAGCCAGCAGGAGCTGGTGGCTTTGGTCATCTCCGGACATTGGTCACTTCAACCTCCTTCTCAGCCTGGTGGCCATAGAAACCCGGCCCCAGGAGCAGACGTGTGTGGGAAGAGCTACGTCGAGTTGAAAGGACACTGTAGAGAGGTTGGTGCTGGGCTCTTCTCACAGGTAATTAGTGACAGAATGAGAGGGAACGGCTTCAAGCTCCAACAGGGTGGGTTTAGACTGAACATTAGGAAAGAATTTTTCACCGAAAGAGTGGTCGGGCATTGGAACAGGCTGCCCAGGGAGGGGGTGGAGTCCCCATCCCTGGCTGTGTTTAAGGGCCGTTTAGATGCAGTGCTGAGGGACATGGTGTAGGGGAGGACTTTGTAGAGTAGGGGAGATGGTTGGACTCGATGATCCCAAGGGTCTCTTCCAACCTAGACCATTCTATGATTCTATGATTCCCCTGTTCCCTTGTTTTGCTCTGCATTTCCCCCCTGTGTGATGTTTGTTGTCTTTGCACACCCGAGTACACGGGTCCCCTTACGTTTGGGTTAAGGTGGTGTTTGTGGGGTGTGTTGCAGAAGGAGAAGCAGGACAGCTCGGGGAGTCTGGAAGCTGTCGGGGACCCCATCCCTCAGCCCATGCCCTTCCCTCCCACGGCCGTTCGGTCGGGCTCTCCTAAGCTGGACCCTTCAGAAGTCTACCTGAAGTCTAAGTCTATATACGAGGACAAACGTGAGTACACCAACTCCAGCTTGGAATTGCTCAGTTCAGAAGGATTTTTTTCTTTGCCATACATGTGGTAAAACCGTTGTGATTTTGGTATTGAGTTTTTTAACCTCCTCTCCATAAAACAGTTCAAGCAATGCAAAATTCATACAGAAATTAGAAAAGTCTGGAATGCCTTTTTAAAAAAAAAGATACAATATGTTTCAGCCATATTTACAGTAAAGCAGTTAATCACAGAAATGGTCTGAAGGATGACCTGGTTCTGAAGTAGACCCGACCATTTCAGAGTCTGTAGGAGGCTGCTCTGAGCTGTATCACAGACTGGTTTTATCCTGCCCACTGCAGGGATGCAGCTGGCATCTCTCCTTTGGCATTTGTCAATTCATCCTGTCCTTTTTCAGCCTTCTCTTGAAAATTTATTTTTCCATTTTGGAAGGGGAATGCCACTGAAAATGTGACTGTTTGAATTATTTACTGTATTTCTGGTTACTGTGTTCTCTCCGTAAAAAGAGTCAGGATGCACCACCAAAGCATAATCTTTCAATAATCAAAGATAACTCCTTACATGTTTTGAAATGTTGCTTTGTCTTAGCTCCAAACACAAGAGATTTGGATGTTTTCCTGCGAAAACAAGAGTCAGGCTTTGGTTTCCGGGTGCTTGGAGGGGATGGACCCGATCAGCCCGTAAGTGAAGCGATTCGCGGTTTCCTACGTGTTACCTTTCAGTATTGCTGCTGGGTGACTCCTTCTTCTCTGTCATCTTCATCTCCCCTCGTTCTGAGCAGTTCAGTGATGGCAGAAATGATAATTCAGTAACTGGTTGGACTTGGATGAGCCTTTGCTTGGGAGTAATGGCCAGGGAATGGGGAGATGGAGGCAGAGGGGCAGACGCTGATGCAGATCCCCCGGGAGGCTCTGCCTCCAACTGCAGGCTTTAGGACACCCTGCTGTTTCCAAACAGGCAAAAATTGTTCTCTGGGAAGAAGTGCTGGGACCTGTACCATGGGGTTCAGCTGTCGAGAGGCAAAGCTTTTGGAATAGACCCTCATCGATGGCTTTCTGATAACAGTTACGGAATGCGGGATTGTCCGTTCCCAGCTGTGATCCAGCCCTAGTCTGTTGGGTGGTTTTTTTCCTAATGTGCATTTATAGAAAACGAAGAGCAAACCCCAAAAATGTGACTTGTGTGGCACTGCGTAGTGTTTGTGGTGTTTGGTTTCTGTAACAGCCGTGGGTCAGTGTCAATCTCCCATCGTGAACGCTGCGTGCAGGTGATCCCCCCCCTGCTCACCTCCAACACCTACTGCCCATAATTATTCTTAATCTTTCATTTGACCTGGTTGTGATTGTGGCATATGAAATAGCGTGGGCTGTTCTTATCTGCATTATATTTAGTAGCACTTTATGAGGTGGGGGTAGACAAAACTGATAAAAGGGGAGTGCAGCTGCTTGAATTCATTATCCAGTCACCAAAAGCTGTGCAATGAAAAACCTTCAAGCGTGGAGCTGTCTGAGCGGCTTTTCAGAAGTGAATTTGAGTTCTTTTGAAAGCTTTTACTTCTTCCCCATCACTCTGGCCTAGTCTGCGTAAAAAAAAATAATAGAATAAGTAGAATGGATGACAGAGGCTTTCAGTAATGTCTGGGAAATCATACCTATGTAAGTGCACAGTGTATGCTTATGTCAAAAGTTGGTCTTTTTAGCAAACTGACAGATCTGCTCAAGAGAGGGTGATAATTCCAGAATTCATGGAAATAAGGATTAAAATCCTCCCTAACGGTGTATTTACTGAATGCTTTGAGCCCCCAGATTGTATCCACTGAGTCAGCCTGTGCAGAGCACACTCGCTGGCTGTTTCTGCTGGGGCTGGACAGTCAGATATTCCCAAATGTCCTCATCTCCTGCCGACAGATCTATATCGGGGCCATCATCCCACTGGGAGCAGCAGAGAAGGACGGGCGGCTGCGGGCTGCGGATGAGCTGATGTGTATCGACGGGGTCCCTGTGAAAGGGAAGTCACACAAACAAGTTTTGGACTTAATGACCAGCGCTGCGCGGAACGGGCAGGTGCTGCTCACCGTGCGCAGGAAGATCTTCTTCGGTGGTACGTGTCCGTCAGTCTGTCCGGAGAGGGCAGTCTCTTTTCGGTACAATTCTCAAGTCTTTTTGGCATCTACGTGTAGCGTCTATGAATTAGTGGATTAAAACCAGAGATAACTGGGGGAAGCATCTTGTGATCCTGCAGTTTTACAGCAGTGCCCAGATGGGCAGTGCACGGGGGGATGGTTGTCCCTGAGGCGATGATGCTGAAGGTGTGAATGGCAGAGCTGGGGTGGAGATCAGGAGAACTGGTCCCCCATTCCCATTACTGACCAGTATTGCTTTTCCATTGCATCATTCAACAGTTAATTCTGAGAATATGCGAGTAAAAAGAAAAAGTTATTTTTAAGATCAATTCTCGCAGAGCTGGGGTGGAGATCAGGAGAACTGGAGATGGTCCCCTGTTCCCATTACTGACTAGTATTGCTTTTCCATTGCATTATTCAACTGTTAATTCTGAGAATATGCGAGTAAAAGGAAAAAGTTATTTTTAGGATCAATTCTAGATTCCTTTAAGATGCCTTCTGATAGACAGACTGCTTCAGGGCTGCAATTCTGTTGGTTTTCTAAAAGAAAGTCTGGCTTCTCTCATCAAACTGCCTCTTAAAAAACTTTTACATTGTTCCAAGTAAACAGTTGTTCTTCACTTAAGATAGCAATAGTTGTAGTTTGTAGCTGCACTTCTGCCAGAGATGCACTTGCAGCGTGCGGAAAAGCCACAATGTTTTTCTACTATCAAAAGGCTGCAGATCACACTGGCAGCCTGTGTCCTCACTGCCAGGGCTGTGCAGCCTGTGTCCCTGCCAGGGCTGTGCATCCTGGGGTGCAGCAGCATCTCCCTGCCGAGCTCTGAGCTCTTGGAGAGGGCTCTGGGCTTCAAGTGCCTTGTCCTGCCTCTGATTTCTGTTTGATCCAAATTGTATCATTAATAAACTCACCCCTTACTTTCCCTGGCAGTGCTTCCTCATGCTGGCACTGAGATGTACAGTTTTGCTGTAGTTCCTTGGGAAAACAGCAGTGTTGGGTTTTTCTTACTTGTTTTTTTTTTGTTACCCACAAGGGGAGAAGCAAGCAGAGGAGGAGGAGTTGCAGCCTGTCCTGGCACAGAACGGCTCTCCCCGACTGAATCGGGTGGAGTTTGCAAACCAGCAGTCCCCAGAGGTCTATGATGTGCGTCTGCAGCGGAAGGAGAACGAAGGCTTTGGCTTCGTCATCCTCACCTCAAAGAACAAACCTCCTCCAGGTGGTAAGTGCCATCTTCTGCTGGGCCATGAACAGTGTGTGCCTGGCACGGGGTGGTCTGCAGGACAGAGCTCAGGCTGTGGTGATGGAGAGTCTCACACTGTGTTAATTCATAGGTGTTTTAATGGAAGTCTAGTTTTAATAGTTTTATATTACCTCATCAGGGAGAATTTCAAATTTTGGGGGAAACGCTGAGAAAGCAGGGTTATCTGTGTCAGCTCTTGGAATAGGAGCCAGCTCGGTGTGTTCACCCAAAACCAAACTCCAGTCACTGGCATTAAGGTACAGGTAACTCCCAAAGTCCTTATTCAGTTCCTTTAGCTCCCTGGTGTAAATCACCCCCCTGAAACTTCCTCAGCTGGTTCCAGACACACGTTGATGGCTTGAAAGTGTGTTTGTGTTTTATTGAGCCTCAGACACTTCTGTTTTTCCACTTCATTTTACTGCACAATAAAAAACCAGCAGGAGCACAGAAAAAAACGGTTTCTAAATAACATTGTACTGAATTCACACGATGGATATTTGGAGTGTGATGCAGCCTTGGCTCAGATGGTACCTTTTCAAGAAGGTTAAGGCCAGCAGCCGTGGAAGCTGGGACAGCACAGGGAAGGGTTGGGCACAGAGCTGTTGTTGGGTTCCAGTGGCAGAGGCAGGACGAGCTGTCACCCTCCCACGTGTGACTGTCACCGTGGGGTGGTGGTGTGCTTGTGTGGTCAGTCAGATATTACGAAAAAATATTATAAACTGAATTATTCTATAATTTATTGGCATTCTATTATAGTATGACTGTACTACAGACATCGTTTTCGTCTGAGAATGTGCTCCAAATCCCTATTTATTTGATATTACAACTGAAACCAGTTCCAGTGCTGGAAGCACAAGCCCTGCGGTCTGGGCTGTTTCTGACACACAGGGAGGAGGAGACACCGGTGCCTCCCCAGGCTGGGGACGTGGTCTGTGCACAACTTTTCTGGGCCATGGTTTGTCAAGAAGCTGCTGCATTTTTCTCAGGCCAGGATACTTTAAACCAAGTGATCAGCCATTGAGTCTGCAGCCCCGCGGTGCTTTGCTCGGCACAGTTGGCTCTTAGGTTTATATAATACTTAAAAAAACAGTCTATTAAGGGAAGTGTAATTAAAATTTAAACTCCTGGTAAATGCTAGAAGGCATCAGTGTCTGTTCCTTCGCAGTAACTTCTGCGTGTGCTAGCTCATTAAAACAATCCTTGATGGCTTTTTAATCTTGGGTGGCTGATGATGCTGTGAAAGTGTTTGGGATTTGCTGTCATGGCTTCGAAAAGGCAGTGGATAATCCTGGCAGGCGTATAGTGCTCCTCACCTCTCCCATCCCTCGGAGGAAAGCCTGTTTGGGAGAGCAGCACCTACAGAAAACAGGTATCCCTCAAACCAGGTACCCATTGAACCCACCTCAGGCTCTGGAGACACAAACGGGTGCTCACATGAAGCACCAGCACGAACACGTGTGACACGTGGGGGTTGGTCTGGAGAGGTGTTGGGAAACGAGCTACAAAGGGGCAGTGAGGCTGTTCCTTCATGGAAGAGGCCTGATGAGATTTGGGGAGAAGAGGAGCCAATTTTGCTGTGCTTTGAGGCGTGCAGAGGAGTGAGAGGCTGGTTCGGAGGCGTGGGGAAGCAGAGCAGA